CAAATACCTCTGGTGTGGGCCGCCACTGGTGTCTTCCTTTGGCTTTGTGCCATTCAACAGTTTTACCCATGACCTGAATGAAAACATAAAGGCACACTTTCCACACAAGCTAAGCAGTTGGCACAGGCTGGAAACCGATCGTGCGCGGTACGGCACGAAATGATCTGTCCAACAATGGGCGGAAACCACAAGGGCACTGCAGAGTGTACGTTTCCGCATCTTGGGTTCTAGTTTGTTTTTCAGGTAAGCCACACGTGTGCAAGAGGGACGCTTTATTGCAGAGCACATGGAGAGGCTGTGCGTCATTTAGAGCCTGCATTGCCTCTTTTCATCAGTGTCCTCCTCAGTATGCATAAACCACCTGTTTGAGAATCTTCCTGAGAATCTGGGCCAAGGATTAGCAGTGAGCAGACCAGTCCCTTCTGCTGACTTGCTGCTGATCACACTGAGTGCTGCAAGGCACGATGGAGGAGAGGAGACCGAGGAGGCTCGTGGAGGGAGAGAGGAAGGTGTGAGGCATAGGTCGCTGGTCAGGTGTTTGTCAGGTCCAGGTCGTGACAGAGGTGACAAGGGCAGGTACAGGCTTTCAGTGATTTGCTTCTTGTCTCTAGCCAGAGGCTAGTCTCATCGGAACCAGAGTCCAAGCCTCTGGACCCTACTAGCACCAACGTGAAAAACCACCAGCGCTGAAATCTGCCCCTCCAACCTGGCCTCGATCTGCTGGACCCTGGAAGAGACATGCACCTGATCCTTGATGCTCAGAGGCCTTGCCCTGCCACGCTCCATTCATCAATAAATATTTATTGATGGCCGACAGCACCGGAGAATGTTTTAGGTCCTGGGGATACACTTTTACTAAAACAGAAACAAAAGGGGAAAAGGAAAGAAAAACACATCCCAACCAGCAAATTGGTAAATGTCCTAACCTAGAAAGAAGACCACTGGGACACTGGATTTAATGCAATATTCAAAACGGCTCAAATATACAATACTTTTTTAGGCTAGAGTGGTCAGGCCTTTTTTTTTTTTTTTTTTTCCCTAGGTGGGTTTTATTCCATAATGGAATCACTGCTTCTAATTTTCAGGGGAACAGGCTGCAACTGGGGCTTTTTCCATGGTTTCCAAGGCCAAGTGCAGAATGCTGGAGTTGGTGTTCCTGAGAATTTTTGTAGGACCCGGAAATGAGAGCATGTTGCTTTCTGCTGGTGTATCTCTTAAGAGATCTCGACTTGTTGCTTCAGAAAGAGGGGTGTGTGTGTGAACCCGTGAGCCCACGTGTGTGTTTAAACGTCAGAGCAAGTCTGACCCATGGCCAGACAAGCCTCTCCCCCAAACTGCCAGTTGCTTAGAAGAATATCCTGTTTCTTTCAGGCTCTGGAGGGTATATGCTCAAGTAAATACTTTAATTCAATTACATCCTGTTGCCAAGTAATTTCTTAAAGAAGAGGCAGTAAATGGAATCTCTACTGGGAAAGTTGTGCTATCATCCCTGGATGGCTTTCTCTGGATGGAACAAGCTTATTTGAAAACTCTCCGCAGCCTGTTGTATTTACAAGCCAGATCTCGGACCAGGGAGAAGAAAGGAAACATGTTCCCTTTTAGAGGATGCCAAATTTAGGATTTGTCCCTAGTGATGTGGGAACAGCTGTCAGAGATCGTTTGGCCCGCCCAGCCAGGCCCTTACACCGTGGTGAGCATGAGACACAGGGTCACCATGTTCTGGGAATTAAAGATCCTTGCGGGGGAGGGGGGAAGGGGGGCAGAGCAGGGATCGGACCTGGGCTTGGTGAGTGTCCACATCCAAGCTTTCCATTTCGCATCTTTTACCTCCTTAGCTGTAGTCATTGCCTGGGCAAAGGCCCATGTGAACATTTGCTTTTGAAAAATGTTTATGTTTTCTCCCAAGGGAATACATCCTCCCCATAGAAAATTTGGAAACATAATAGAGACTAACAAGGAAAATAAGAATCCTCTATTTTCCCACATCGCAGGGATAAAGTACAGTTTTGTCTGTTTTTTCCCCCCTAGTATTTTCTTTCCTGATCACATATATGTAGTCAAGCCAACACTGTATGAATGAATGATTTTATAAGATTTTGTGAATGACATCTGCCCTAAGGAGCTGAGTTCCCATCCACCTGAAGCCTGAACTCTTGCCTTCATATACGTTTTTAAAAAATACGTTATGGGGGCACCTGGGTGGCTCAGTTGGTTAAGCGTCCAATTTTGGCTCAGGTCATGATCGCACAGTTCGTGGGTTTGAGCCCTGCGTCGGGCTCTGTGCTGACAGCTAGCTCAGAGCCTGGAGCCTGCTTCAGATTCTGTGTCTCCCTCTCTCTCTGACCCTCCCCTGCTCACACTGTCTCTCTCTCAGAAATAAATAAAATATTAAAAAAAAAAACTTATGTTTGAGACACGGAGAAAGAACACAAGTGAGGGAGGGGCAGACAGAGAGGGAGACACAGAATCCGAAGCAGCCCCCAGGCTCTGAGCTGTCAGCACAGAGCCTGATGCGGGGCTCGAACCCACTAACTGTGAGCTCATCACCTGAGCAAATGTCGGACACTTAACAGACTGAGTCACTCAGGTAGCTCCAAATACATTTTAATGGAACTTTTCCATCTACTATTATGAAGAGTAAAAGATCTATGATTCAATCAGGCTCCTTCTGGGCTCAGGTGACACATCTGTGAGCCTAGAGGCCACAGGTCAGTTACCTAGGAATGATTCAGAATTGCAGCTGCCTGCCCAGTTATGTTTCTTAAGGTGCATTATTGCTCTAATAAAATGTTCCGGGCTATAATTTTGTAACAATTGGTACTAGGAGTCCCAAAGGAGTTGTGCATTTATCTTGAACATGGGCTCTACCCAGGCCCCCACCAGCACAGCAAAGTTTGCTTTAATGATGTTCCTTTGAATAATTTAAATGCCACCCTCCTGTTGATTCTTTCTGTGTATTTTATTCTGCAAAATGCCCCAAAGGGTTAGTTGGTTTTCAAAAGCTGCATGTTAGACACAGTTGGATATTTTTTTTTTCCCTTCAGTGGCTTTGAGATTTATGCACTGATGCTTTTCTCAAACAAATACCAAGGGAAACGACCTTTGCAAAATACAAAATTTCATCCTGGGAATGCACGGTGGACAACCTCTCGCCTTCCGCAGAGCCCGTGGCAGAAACCCGGGTTGAGGAGGTAGGGGGAGAGGATCGTGGCATCTTGCCAGAGCCACAGCAAAGAGCACGGTCACTACAGTTGCTTAAAATGATTTAAAAACCTGCTATCATTCCTGCTGATGGAACCATGGAAACCCGATGGCGACCTTGGAAGGATTCTGCCCTGAGGGCTGAAAGATTCGGAAAATTTTAGGTCTAACAGGGGTCTGAGAATCCGACGCTCCCCAGAGCTTGAATTTACAGAGGGAGGAGACTGCGGTCTGCCAGAGTTAAAGGCTGCCTTAAGTCACACCCACCACTGCAGAGGGGGATTGGAACCCACATCTCCCGAAGCCCAGCCATGCTTCTCCAGTGCCCCATGGGACCTCTCCGGCGCCTCGCATGTCCTGAGGACACCACCGAGGTGTCAAAACTGTACCATGGGGACGAGAAGAACTCTTTGCCCAGTGGTCTGATGGCCTGAGAAGCAGATGCCAACCTTTGGGCCCCTGGTGTGTTCATCCTGAAATGAACGTGTTTTGTGAATTGCCTAAATGAACCCCTCGCTGCAGGTTGGCATCTTGCCTGAGCTCAGTTCCACCCTGTACGGGAGGGACGCGGGGAGGACATTTCATGAGCGCTCTGAATGTCCGGTAGCCCGTTAAAGACACGTTCTGCACAGAGGATCTCCAGTATGTGGGCTTCGTTTGCTTGTGCCTGGGGTCCCCACGTGAAAGGTTAGGGCAAGGAAGAAGAAAGACCAAGGAAGTCTATGAAGTCTTTAAAGGAGCTAAACACAGGGTTGTTTCTTTGTTGTTGTTTTTTTCCTCCAAAGGGATGAGTCAGTGGAGAAATATTAGCAGTATAAAAAGGATTTGAAAAGCATGAGAAAAAAGAAAATGTTAATTACGTTAACCTTTTAGAACTTACGCAGTGCACAGCAGGAACACAAGCCGATTTTGTTTCCTTGAAACCAGCCATCTGACGACAGGGCTTTCTCGAAGCCCAAATAAGGGGGCTGCTTCTGCTGCTCAGTTGTGCTAATGAGCCCTCCCGTTCCTTGAGGCCTCAAAGGTTTTCCCGGACCCCTAGCTTTGACCCTCTTTGGAATTTCACTGTACAAAATGTGGATGTGTGAGGTGTCTGAGGGAAGTCTCTGAGGGGGCCTTATGTCACTGTCAGTCCTGGAGGGACCAGGGGTTGTGGGAGGAAGATTGGAGAATCTTCCCCAGACTGAGAGCTGTACTGCTGGCCAAGTGGCTGAGAGACTTTGCGGTGCCTTAGGAGATCATCGGTAAAAAAGGACGTCAGCCGTGCCCACTCAGGTGACATGGACACAGGACTCAATGGCGCGTTAGCCGATTGATGGCCCTGGGAGTTAGTGGTGGTGATGTTCTGCCTGCCCTCAACTGTGGGCCATTGCCCCCGTAGGGTTCTTGTTTTGTGTTGAGTGTCTGCGGGACTGATGTTTGGTCAAGACGGGGGCCAGAGTACACCGTCCCCTAAGAGGGGCTAGTGTTAAACTTTGTCCAGATTTGTCTCAAGCCCAGAGGGCCACACCGTGTGTGCACATGGGTGATGAGGGGAGATGAGGCACCGTGGGGGCCAGGGATGGGAGAGAGAACGGAATGCTCCCTTGAAGATGTGGAATCCCAGAGTCTGAAAGGAAGGGTAGGGCTTTGGTGTAGTAGTCTTGGTGGTGAAACAGCTGTAGGGGAGGCTGAGAGGTTGAGTGTCGCGTATCCTTTACAGCCTCTGCTGGGCTGTGCATCCAGCCTTGGAGGAAGTGGAGGCACGGTGAGGGTATAAATGGAGATGAAGCTGGAAGGGAAGCGTTTTGGATGAGGCGGTGGATTGTCAGATTTTACTATGTATGTCATGGGCAAGCCCATCGGAAGCTTTTGAATAGCGGAGATGCCCTGGGTTTTTGGCAGAAAGTTCTGGCTGCTGTGACTGGGTGGGTTGAAGTGGGAAGCAGCTGCAGGTGGCGGGCCCCTCGGGAGGCATCGTGATGCTTCTGGCAGACCGTCAGGAGGATGAGCACCAAGTCAGAGATGCAGCCAGGAGACAGCTTTGAGGAGCATCACAAAAGCAGTGCTAAGAAGAACAGGAGTCTGGTTGGATGAGGCAGATGAGGATCGGGAAGAGGTGATGATCACCCTGCAGCTGGCGGCGGGTGATGGGAAGCTGAAATGAGGAAAGGGGGAAAATGAGGGAAACCAAGGCACGTCTGAGCAGTTTCGACTTTGAGGTGTCAGAGGACGTCTGTGTCAATGTATCGGGCAGGTAGCACAGGGTTTGGGGTTCAGAGCGTGGAAGACAGATCACAGAAAGAAGTGTACAGAAAGTTTCACAATGTTGAATTTGTGCAGAATTTTAGAATTTACAGAAGAAGCTTGTATATCAAAAGACTCTACGGGTGAGATATTATCATCATCTCTGTCACGTGGGTGGGGATACTGAGGCATGCCTACTAGCAGAGTGGATGGTCCAGCAGGGGGTGAGGTTGGAGCACGTTGTCCATATGCCAGAAAGCAGTGAAATTCACACTATCCTTGCAATATTTCACTCTTTGGAGGAAGATGGTCATCTTCTCACCACCCCCAGGACAACAGCGCGATCCTTCACTCCGTATCCCCCAGTTCGTGGCCTCCGTGGCCTCCCTGTTCATGGAGAAGTAGCCGTGTGCCAGCTTGGGCAGCTGGGTAGACACGTGGGGTGAAAGACTGAGGGGCATAAATGCCCACATGGGGATGAGAGACGGTGAGGGAAGATCAGAGAAACAGGGATGCTGGCCTGGCTGGGGCCCAGCAAGGGAAGGGTCGAAGGAAGCACAGCGTCAATGGGGTCTTATTGACTGTCGGGATGATCTTGGCTTTATGCAAGAAAGCTCATGGGGAGCCATGGCAGGGTGCTGAGCAGAGAAGTGACAGAATCCGATGGCCCCTGTGTGCTCCATTGACACTAGGCTGTGGAGAGCAAGTAGGAGATGCATCTCTACGCAGGGACCTAGAGGGATCCCGGAGGCAGGTAAGGTGGGGGTAGCACGCACCGACCTTAAAGGGAGCACTGACACCTATTCGGATGGATTCTTTGTGGAGAGCGGTTGATTCAAGGAGTCAAGGAGGGTCTCGGTAACTGGATGGGTGGGGCTGCCATTAGGCTGGGGAGGTCTGTAGAGAGAGCAAACTTGAGTGGGGGGGGGGGGGTGGCCCGGAGCCTGTGCTGGGAGCTGCTAAGCTTCAGACGCAGACAGTGAGTGGGGACTTGGGTACAGGGACACAGGCCGGGAGAAGTGTCAGTTTGGGAGTCATCTGTGTGAGACGGTTCCCAAAGCAGCAAGGCTGGACTAGATGGCCCAGTGGGTGGGTGCAGACAAGAAAGAGAGCCTGGAACACTCCCTTGCCAAGGGCGTAGGGGGAAGTGGATGGACCTGGGCCAGAGGGAGCAGCTGGGAGGCTTTAGCAGGTGCTGTCTGGGCTCTGGGAGGAGGAGGGATCACCTGCGTCTAGGGTGGCAGGTGGATCGGGTAGAATGACAGTGGCCATTGGATTCATCCACTTACACATCTAAGGTGGCCTTGTTTCTCAGTCTCTTCTAGCAGTGACCTGTAGCTGTCGTGCAAGAAAAGGGCCAATGAGAATATCCCCTTCACTACTCAGTTATGTCCCGGCGTAATACCGATAGCCCTATCAGTTATCAGTGGCCCTAATGTGTCACATGATCTCCATTTACTCTCCTGTAATCCTCACACAGGACAAGATGGTCACTACATTTCACAGCGGTGGGAAGTGAGATTCAGGGGGTTTGATGGCTTGTTCAAGGTCAGAGTTAAAGGGGCCTAGCAGGATCAAGAATCCAGAACGGTGGGCTCCCAGGCATGTGGTTTTCCACGCTGGGGACAGTTAGTCCAGTGGGTACAGGTAGCCCCAGACAGAGCCGTGGTCTAGGCTTTAATACCTGAGCTGGCCACTCAGGAGCCACCCGTGTTTCCTTTAGTGGCCTCATGAGTCGCCTGGAGGCCCTTAGATGAATTTATATAAAGAAATAAGACCAGGCTGGTAACAACTCCAGTAAAACTCACTCTTTGCTGTCTATATTATGAGGATAGTGGTGCGAAGGTAAACTTTGCCAGAGGGGATGTCACGCGTTTTCTTCACTCTTCCCTTTGTTAAAACAAGTTAGGTAAAAAGCCATGTTGTGTGGCCTAAAGGGATGTAGAAACCCAGATCAGTTTAAATGTAAGATACATAAACTCAAGTAAATACGCATATGGAATGATGAATTGCAAGAAGGTTCTCAGGCAGGCAGAGGGATCTAAGAGCGAACCATGAACCAGTCTGCAGACTGATTTTTAGTTTCCAGCACCACCTTGCAGAGGGCAGAGGCCTGGGCTCTGCTGGCTCCAGGCAGGTCACTCCAGCACAGCTCGGACAGGGAGCACAGAGCTCCCATACTCACAACCGGGAGTGAGTGCTAACGCCTATGCAGCCCCAGACCCCATGGTGGCCCTAAGAGCAGAAGCTCTTCCATGAGGGGTCCGTAAGATGTGAGTACGTGCCCTCATCCGGTGCCCTTTCCTGACCCAGAAGAGGCCCCCACCTGCTTCCTTCTTCTCCTGGGGCCAGTGCTTTTGGCCAGAGCCTGTAGGGTGTGGTGGCTGCTGGTGGGACAGGGTGGGAAATTGGGACAGCACCACAGTTTAGGGACCCTGGAGACTCCCCATCCTGCACTAGTCAGCAAGGCAGGGTGGAGTGGGGCGCTCACACAGTGCTCTGTGCAGGCTGCAGGCATTCCCTCTGGTGTAACTGGGGCCCGGCCACCGTCAGGACCAGCGTCCCCAGGCCTCCCCCGTACCTGCAGAACCTCCCTGGGCCAGGCTGCCATTAGAGGAAAGCACCCCATCTGTTTTCTGGATTTCTCCTGTGTGTCTGAGGGCCCTCTAGCCAGCTGGGTTTCATGAAGCCCAAAATGGATCTTGCCTGGAGCACATTCTCCTCCAATGTCTAAAGCCAGCCCGAGGGGGGTTTGTTTTTGTTTTTTTAATCTTTCTGAGGAATCTAATCTGTGTCCTTCCATTACCAGCCTGTTGTGGAAGAAGAGAGCTGTTTAGTATCTGAGAACCCTTCTGGGGCTTTTTAATGATTCTGTTCAAGTTTTTCTTCTCCTCATTGAAAATTCCACATTGCCAGCAATTAAGGGGCTTCAGGTTTAGAAACTGACAGCCCCCCATGCTCCCCACCTGGGCAGAAGCATCAATTAATCCAGCCTTTTCATGCATCCTGGGAGGAGGCCATATGCCTCCTTCAAAACCAAAGTCTTTTTTTTTTTTTCAGTTAAGAAAAAAAAAAACCTTTCCCATTGCTTCAGTTACCACTTCCTAGTTCTAAGTTCTAGAACTTTCCTCCCTAAGCGTCTGCCTCATCCTCACTCCTGTAGAGGTGGGAGAGGGGGGAGTCTGGTGGCCTCTGAGATGTCTGCTAGCCCGGAAGTCTCATGGCTCTGGATTCACAACGGCCCACCTAATGCTGTGCTCAGAAGTGCCCAGATTTCTTGGAGACATAACAGTTTTTACTCCACAGATCATTAGAACTTGACCTCTGAGAAGATGGAAATAGGGGAGGCAGGCCTGAGGGCTGTTTTAGTTAACTTTGATTTGGAAGTCCTGGTTCTAGGTGACCAGTGACCAGCTCAGGAGGTTCATTACTTCCACAAATAGTGACTGAATGCATTCGAGGGGCCACACACTGTTTGGAGGGCTGAGGACACAGCAGCAAATACTCACAGGGCTTACATACTGTGGCAACATGCTGTGGGCTGTGGTTGTGTTCCATGGGTCTTAGAGCCTTGACCTCCGTGATCTATCTGTTCCTTTATGACTGCAGTGGTTTTCACCTACATAATGTTTTGGTCATAATGTCTATGCCAGATGCTGTGTTTCAGTGCCACACCAGACTGTCCTTTCTTCCTGGCCTGACTTGGGGGAAGTTCGTGCCTTACTGATTAGAACCTCCAGGCACCTTAGTTGTGGGTTAGTAGCAATCCCAAGCTCGGAGGCTGGTGCTTGGTGACATTCTTAAGAAACGGTCATGCTAACCCTGTGAGTTCAGGCTTCTTTCATCGAAATCTCAACAATAAAGATGTGCATCCATGTGCGGAGAGTCATTCTAGAACGCTAGACCTAGAACTTCATGGGTCCTCTGCACCAGCCCCCATTCCCCAAGCCCAGTGTAAATCAGATTCCTAACACATTTCTAAGGCTGTCTGTACATTGCTAAAATGCTGACCTTGAGAGGCTGAGAAGCATGCTGTCATTTCATTCCCACGCATTACTTTTGGTGTGACACTGACCATGGGGTCCCCTGAACGCAGCCTAAGCCCCGACATCCTCTGCTCTTGCTGCCCGATCCAGTAGATTCAGTGCTGGAACATGGCTTCCCTGAAATACACAAGGCTTCCTTCCCCTTAGCTTCTGTTCATCTTTGTTTTCCTCAACCTACATGTGTAGCGGCCTAGCAATGAGCATTCCAACAGGGTCTTGACTTCAGCACCATCATCTGGGTCCCTGTTTATTGATAAGATGGTCTGTCCTTAACCATGGCCGCTGGACCACTCATGTCCTGTGTCATGGGAAGAGCAGTTGGCCTTACACGCCCAGTAATGGATCCGAAGTGACCTCCTTTGCTCAGGGCAAAAATTATTTGGAATGAGAGCCTCTTATGAGGGTCAGATGTGGTTGGAGCTGGAAGACCTGTGTGCAGGTACTGCTCTATGGGGACAGGTGGAGCTGGGTGGATGGGCGTACCACTCTATCTCTGCTCCTATGTCATTGCTAAAATGGAGATCAGGATTCCCGTCTGAGCAGCCTCCCTGGCTGGCCAGGAGAAAATATCTGAGATCATGTGAGTAAAAGTACTTGGAAGATGATAAAGTTCTTTGTAAATGTGAGAGATTATTATTCATCTTCGATAGACAGAAAAAAATAATTTGTGGAAGAGCAAAATGCACAGAGAGGTAGAAGATGCTGGCCATTTTACTTATTTAAAAATAATTTTTTTAACATTTATTTGTTTTTGAAAGAGAGAGACAGAGTGTGAGCAGGGGAGGGATAGAGAGGGAGGCCCAGAACCCAAAGCAGGATCCAGGCTCTGAGCTGTCAGCACAGAGCCCAGTGTGGAGCTCGAACCCACAGACTGTGAGATCATGACCTGAGCCGAAGTCGGACGCTTAACCCACTGAGCCACCCAGGTGTCTCTCGAAGACACTGTCCATTTTAAAGAATGTATGCAATTTTGACACTCAACTTTGCTAATGTCTTACTGTTTTCAAAAATAACAGCTGTTACAGCGTCAAAAGAAGACATTTTTTCACGAAAGGAAGCAGGTCAGTTCTTTGAACAGGTTCTGTCCCGTGTGGGTGGTCATGCCAGGCCAGGGAAATTGGGAGATCCCGTTGTGTGATGGGCATTTGAATCTGTAGCACTAGGAAGTAATGCAGGGTGAGAAGAGAGCAGGCATGTATCTTTCTTCTGTTCTGGGCCAAGGAAATGGGGAGCGGCTGAAGGAGACCTTCAGGAGAAGGTGCCCCCAACCTCCACGTGAGCCAGGCTTCTCACTTAAAAGCCTCCTTCCTGTGATCTTGCCACAGAGTGGGGAATCAGGGTACAACAATGAACTGCAAGCCCATCTGTGTTCTAGGGGCAATGTCCCACAGTGACGCTGGCAGCATCCTCTCCCATGGCCCCGCCTGGTGCTCTGCCTGTGTGGTGAAGTCCAAAAGGAAGTAGTAGCATCTGGACAGGGCCGCTGGTCTCCTCCATTGCCTGTGCCTTCGCGAGGCATCCCCGGAGTGTAGGGTGATTACTGCTTATATTGGCAGGTGGGAGGCTCCTAAGGAGAGTGGACTCAGCCTCACTCCTTAAGTTGCTGCCCTTTGGCTATAAGTCTCCAGCATCAGAAGCATCTGGGGAGCTGTGTAAAATGTCCAGTTCCCGGTCTCACTTTTGCAAATCCAGAGTGACTTGCTTGTGGCTGGGAATATGCGTTTTTGGCAGGCACCAGGACCAGTTCAGCACCAGTCTGTGGTTTGAGCAATCCTAGAGCTCTAGGTGCATGTCCTGATTTGTCCCCAAATGCTCTGGGGCCTGGGCTGGGCTGGCATCGGATCTTCTGCATCCTCCTTGACAGTGCCCATCTCACATGGCCGCTCTGAGCATTAAGTTGACTGCAATGCTTTGTAGAAAGTATCCAACTTGCAGAGAGGCTCGGTCAATATGGGTGCTTGTCCTTCCTTATAGCAACCCTGGACAAGAAATAGAACCAGATTTATTTCAGAATTCCTAAAAATGCATGACCATTCTTGGTCCCCACTAACCCTTTCTTGTTCATGTATGATTAATGGGTATGTTTCCATCACTCAGCAAGTGTTTGTCCAGGATATTCACCTTACCAAGCAAGCATTTCAGATTTCAGGGGCAAAGAGGGAGACACAAATGATATAGCAAAAATAGTTGCCAGCACCTAGACCTGGGGGTGGGGGGGGGAACCAAAAGACTTGTTTTTGGAGTTGAGACTTTAGTGCATCAATCCAATAATGTTTCCTAAATAAACAGAACTCTTAAGAAATCAGCCAACAGATCAAAGATGAAATTGTACAATCTTTTGTACACTTGGAATTTAGAAGAAGGTAAGGGCAATAGTAGGCATTGTCAGCTCTTCTAGAATGAACTGTATGGTCTTCTTGACATGTATATTTTATCTTATTCATTTATTGGTTTAAAATAAGCTTTGTGACCATGATGGGACTTGAACTCTTGACCCTACAGCAGTCTCATGCTCTGCTGACTGAGCCAGCCAGGTGCCTCAACACATTTATTATTTTTATTTTATTTTATTTATTTATTTAATCTATTTTATTTATTTTATTTTATTATTTTTGAGAGACAGAGTGAAACAAAGCACAAGTAGAGGAGGGACAGAGAGAGAAGGAGACACAGAATCTGAAGCAGGCTCCAGGCTCTGAGCAAGCATTCAGCACACAGCCTGACGCAGGCTCACACAGCCTGTGAGATCATGACCTGAGCCGGTCAGACACTTAACCGACTGAGCCACCAGGAACCCCCCAATACGTATATTTTAAATGAAGATGGAGACAGGCAGATTTTACTGAATATGTATGTAAATGTGTGTAATCAGAGTCATAGAGTTACAGAATCTGAAAGGATCTCACACTTACTCAAAGACACCACCATCTCCCGTCCTTCCCGCATATGCCCCGTGTTAGAAATCAGAACCACGAAGGCCCAAGGAGCTGTCTAAAGTACAGAAAGGGATTCCGAATTTGAAGCATATAAACACAGAAGGTAAGTGAAATGGCATTTCAATATTTAAATTTTTTAGGATATCTGTGTGTGGTAGACTCCTAGCTAAGTGATGGGGGACACATTCGAATCTAATCATTGAAGGGTTGGAATAGGGTGGAGGTTTATTTAATTTAGTAGCCGTGAGGCTCAGCTTCAGACCCCACAGTACACAGAATGCATCTTCTCAAGAGAGGGAGAAGAAGTGGCAAGAGATCTCGGCTCTCAGATGAGTCCCAGGCAGCTGGGAGGGTCGTCAGTGGCTGTCCTAGAACCTGGCACTGTCCTTTCTCAGCCAGGCGGTTGCAGTAGTGTGTGCTGATTCCCATCCCCACCAAGCTCTTGGCGTCTGTCCTAAAGCAAACACTTTGACTCTTCTCTTTACCGTTACCATCTGACATCCCCATAGTGTCAAAAATGTGCCAAGCACAGGCTGTGCAAAACTTAGTTCGATCATTTTGCCTCGCAAACCTAAAATTAACGTTAAAAAGTGAAAAGGTGTTGACTGTTGGCAACAGTGGCGGGCGATGACTGAAAGGGTTGGCTGTGACCGCTTTGTTGTGGCACTACTAGAAATGATTTCTGGAGCACCCAGACTGTAGGCCCGTCATTGTGGGGATGAGGCTTCTTGGTGGCCTTAGCTCATTCACACACCTCTGAACACCACGAGCTTTGTGGCAAGTCCCCAACGATTCAGAGGGCACTTTTGGCTTCCGGCTTGCTCACGGAGGAACCTGACATTGCCTATGGTCATCAAGCACAGACAGCAAGGCGTGAAATGTCTTCTGGGGGCATGGAGGTGGGTGGGGGTCAGAGAAGGCATCACTCAGAAGCTCAGCCTCCAAGGGTGAATCAGATTCTACCAGTTAGACCAGAGAGGAGGGCAGACATTTCATGCAGGGGGTGGGTATACTGTGTGCCAAGATGCAAAAGTGTAAGTGTCCTCCAGAGCAATGCATTGAAAACCAATGAGTGTAGGAGCCAATCCAGGAGAATTAGAGAGTTGATTTTAATTATGGGGAGCCATATTCCCCCACCCTGAGGAACTTAGGTGATCTTTTAGGCTGTGCCAAATCATCTGCGGAATTTAAGATGTGTATTTTAGGAGTATGACTCAGATGGTCACAGAGTGAAGGGAAGACAAGGGAGAGATTCTAGAAACCAGGTGATTAGGATGAGCCTTCTGTTCTAGGTTAATGATATGATTTCTTGTGACCCACCTTTGTGCCATTGACACGGCCATGACTGCCTGCTCAGCTGGGAGTCATTTGGCCTAGTTGTTGGGGTCTGTGGGGTTAGTAACTGTCCGAAGCATGTGCTTGCCTTCCATAGGTGCCAGTTGACTTGACTTTGTTTCTTGGCCAAGGCCAGCCTCCTAGACCTGCAAGTCCTTAACCCCAAGGGCAAGCAGTAGGAAGACATGCTTGGATTTGTTTCAGCTTCAAAACCAGGAGTGTGGACAGGAGGAGGGCATCACCCATGGGA